GCCCAGGAGTTTGGGGATACAGTGAGATATGATCATGTTACTCCACTCCAGTCTGGGCAACAGAGCAAGACCCTGTCTCTAAAACAAACAAACAAACAAACAAACAAACAAACAGCCCTCTCACCTACAATACAGATAAAGAACAAAACTTAGCATCCTCCTACTACGAGTCCTAGAAGTAAGGTGGGGGTAATGTGGGGGAACAGAAACCTGATGATTGTTGGACTTCAGCCAGCTATGATAGATCAAGTAGAGTAGCTGCATTTCACACTGTATCTTTTGAAAACTGAAGGCCAGATCTGTTCTTTTTTGTAAAGGGGTCCTTATAAATATCTCTGGTTTCTTTATGTGACATCCTTGTTTCTTTCTGCACATGGTATTATTTCAGACTACTTTATTAGCTTTATCTTTTTTTTAGACTTGCTACAGTTTGTTCATGTCTCTTCAAATGTGATTCAAATATTGTTGCCCTGTCAGGGTATTACTGTACTCATCTGATTTCCATTCATTTTGTTGTTATCTATGATAGTTTCAGTTGTTTTATCACATTGGTGAATTATTTTGAGCTTGTAGTCCTTTTCCACTTTGGGGATTCCTTTCTAAAGAGATGACATAGAGGTCATGCTTGTACCAGGTAACCTCCTTTTTCTGGCAATAGTTTGTTGGATCTGGGTAGATACTATGCTCATTAATTTGAACTAGAGGTACAGAAACAGTAGTTAGTGTAACTAGAGCTTTCAAGCCCTGTGGGATTCAAAGCAGACTCACCTCTTAGCAAACAGATCTGGGTATGTTCAAACTGAAGTTGTTGTGGAGTAGAATATGACAGGTTTACAGCAGAATCTGGTTTCCCAGGAGGAGAACAGATTATACATTCAGAGAAAAGCAGATTCAGAAAGATTCAGAAAGCCAATTGGTGATTTTCTTCTTTCTGTGAGCCCTAGCTGTATTTTTCACCAATTGATTTTATGAGACTTTCTAATATCCTTTCAGAAAATCTTTTCCTTAATTACTTTGAGTGCATTACACAACAAATACTAAAAATTCAGGATCCCTTCTTCCAGCTATTACAACTCATTTTTATAAAACTACTGTATAAATATATAGTTATCTCCATTAAATTCTATATTGGCAGTTTCAGTTTATCTTTCCAGTTTGTTCAGATGTTTTCAATCTTTAATTTATGCTGTAAATACACATATTAGCTGGATATCATAGGGCATCATCATCATATACCAATCTCAAAATTTGCTATTTGTACATTTAATGGGCATGGGCATACCTTGTGTGAATTTACATAAGATCAATATGAACAGGTCAGAGTGAAGGATAAAATCATGAGGTGTAACAATAGGGACATTTTTCTAAATTGTATGTTTATATATGGCCATTCTTTCAGCTGAGGATTCACCAAGTCTAGCATTATGCAGAATGGCGAAGTGAATAGAGGATACGGTCTAGATTCAAATGAACTTAGGTTTGAGCCTTAGTCTTACTACTTACTAGATTCTAATGGATTTTTCTATTCAATACTCCAATCCTCAGCCTCCTTATTCATAAAATGGGGATAACAATACAAAACTTGTAGTTTTGTGGTGGGAATTACAGATAACATTGGGAGTTAACAAAGTATAGAATTTAAGAATGCAGGCTTTGGGCTTGTCAATCTGTATTTGTACGCCAGGTCTTCCCTTACTAACTCTGTGTTCTTGGGCAAGTTAGTTAATTCTTCTGTATTAAAGATAGTTTCCTTATCTTTAATAAGGACTGTACCTACTTCATGAGGTTGTAGTGAAGATTAAATGAATTAATGTATGCAAAGCACTTAGAACAACACTTCATGCACATTAAGCCCTTGATAAATAAATGTTAGTTCTTATTACATCTGTGGTACAATAGGGCCTGTGAAAAACACAACACTCAACAAATGATTATATATATATATTTTTCCCATTGATAGAGTGAAAAACAAATTATTAAATGTCTTGCAAATATTTGAAACATTTAAAGTCCATGGAAGTCCTTTTAATTTAGCAGGCGTGTTTTAAAAATGTCTTTTGTGAGCTCATTCTGGCTTGGTACTGATCACTGCATTATTTTCTAAGAGCGCACACATTATCTGTTAATAATCTGCTCTAGAATTTTGCTGGGTATCAATCCACTATTTCTATGTTCATGTGTTGGGGATTTCCTTCATTCCCCATAGGTTTTCAAAAAATTCACCCAATGCCTTGCCAACCATGTCTGCAAACTCTTTTTGTATGTTGGGGATTAGTTTAAATGACCCAGAAGACTTGATCATTTTGAAGGCATCTAAGTTCTCTCTTAGTATCTTTTCATCTATCATAATTTTTCATTTCTTCATCTCCAGTTTGAAAATTATACTTTTTTTTCTTCTTTTTTTTGAGATGGAGTTTTGCTCTTGTTGCCCAGGCTGGAGTGCAATGGCATGATCTTGGCTCACTGCAACTTCCGCCTCCCAGGTTTAAGCAATTCTCCTGCCTCAGCCTCCAGAGTAGCTGGGATTACAGGTGCCCACTGCTGCCCCCAGCTAATTTGCGTATTTTTAGTAGAGATGGGGTTTTTTGCCATGTTGGCCAGGCTGGTCTGGAACTCCTGACCTCAGGTGATCCGCCTGCCTCAACCTCTCAAGTGCTGGGATTACAGGCATGAGCCACTGCTCCCAGCCCAAAATTATTATATTTGATGAAGAATAGAGGATGAAACCAGGAGTCAAAGTGCTGTACCTCTTCTTTATTCTCTGCCAAATTATTCTGTTTTCCTTGATATGTAAATTAAGCTTCCTCCCCACCCTACCATCTTCATTTCTCCAAACTGTTCTAAAATGCTTTTTATGTTCCACTTCACATTTTCTTTAAACTTTAACTTTTTTCATTAAAAAGTTTCCACTTTTTAATGATTTCCTTAAAGGTTCATGCCATCTTTGCTATTCTCCTTTGTCTTTGTGTCAGTCAACATTTTTATAATTTTTAGTTAAAATCTGAGTTAGTATACCTTCCCGTACTGCTATAGGTTTTATCAGGTGGCTCCGTATTTCATATACTTATTGGAATTGTTTGCAATGGAATAGTAAGAATTTAATTTTTTTAGAGCTTCTTGTTCCATTAATAATCACATCTAGATTATTTGGTTGTCTTCTTTTTTATTGAGGTAAGCACAAAACATAAAATTCATACTTCTTATCACTTTAGAGTATATAATGCGGTAACTTTTAGTATATTCACAATGTTGTGCAACCATCACCACTATCTAGTTCAGAATATTTTCCCCAAAAGAAACCCCACACATCTCTTAAGTAGTTCCTCCCCACTCCCCACTTCTTCCAGCTTCTGGCAGCCACCTGCCTGCTTTCTGACTTTGGATTTGCCTATTCTTGGAATTTCATGTAAATGAAATATACAATATGGACATTTTGTATCTGGATTTTCCCACTTAGCATAATGTTTTCAAGATTCATCATGTTGTAGTAGGTGCTAGTACTTTAATCCTTTTTAAGGCTGAATAATATTCCATTGTATAGAGATACCATATCTGGTTTATCCATTTGGATTACTTACCCTTTTGGCTACCAGAAACAATGCTGTTATGAACATTCATGCACAAGTTTTTGTGTGGACATATGTATTGTGGGTAGATACATAGAGCTGGAATTGCTGGGTCATATGGTACTTCTATGTTTCACATTTTGAGGTGCTGCCAAACTGTTTGCCAAAGTGATAGCATCATTTTACGTCCCCACCAGCAATGTATGAGGGTTCTAATTTCTCACATCCTTGATAAGACTTGTTATTGTCCTTTATAAAAAGTCATAGCATTTTACTCAGTGCAAAGCAGTATCTTGTGATTTTGATTTGCATTTGTCTAATGACTAATAATGAGTACCTTTTCATATGTGTATTAGACATTCTTGTATCTTTGTTGAAGAAATGTCTATTTAAATCTTTTGCTCACTGCTTGAGTTATATTTCTATTATTGAGTTGTAAAAGTTCCTTATATATTCTAAATACAAGTCCCTTATCATCAGGTCCATAGTACATATGATTTGCAAATGTTTTCTCCCATTCTGTGCGTTATCATTTCATTTTCTTGATGGTGTCCTTTGAAGCATAAACAAGTTTAATTTTGTTGAAGTCCAATTTATCAATGTTCTATTTTATTGCTTGTGCTTTTGGTGTCGCATCTAAGAAATCATTGCTTAACCCAGGATCATGAAAATTTACTCCTGTGTTTTCTTCTAAGAGTTTTACAATTTTAGTTTTTACATGTAGATCTATGACCCACTTTGAGTTAATTTTTGTGTGTGGTGTGAGTAGGAGCCTGTGAGAGAAAAGACGATATGTCGATCATAATGGCCTGGGGCTGGGCATGGGGTGTGGTGTGGTATGACAAAGCAGTGGGCATGCCAAGCCCTATTAGGATGGTCAGCACTAGGCAGAGAGATTGCCGTGAGAGAGCAGAACTGCTATGGTGGGACTTGCAAGTTCCAGTAATGCTTTGAGTAGTAATCTGCCCCTTTTAATCTACCTTTTTTCCACTTTATCTCCATCTTAAATTTGTGTGATTATTTTTATTTCTACTTCACAGATGAAAAAACTAAAGCTCTGAGACATCAATTAACTTGGCCAAATTTGCATAGCTAATAAGTAGTAGAGCCAGGACTGACATCCAAGTCATCATATTCTAATTCCTACACATCATGCAAGAAAGTCTGAAGGACAAGAGAGAACTGACCTAATTGAGAGCAAGGATATTATCTGAGACCCTCTTCCCTGACTCCATTTTCTGTCAAAGAAACCCCTATGCCCTGGAATTAGAGGCAATTAAATCTGATTTTGATTTTCTTTATCTTCTAATAATGTCTTAACAGGACTGTCTGTGAGACAGAGAACAAGGCTCTACAACCTGGGTTTTCCAGCCTCACTACATACTTCCTCTGGGCCACTGAGGTTTTTGTATAGCTCCCCTGTGCTTTTAGCACAGTGTCTCTCAGATGACAGCAGTACACGGCTGAGTCTGACACCTGCACCGAGTATTTCACAATGGTGGAGTTTTTGTCTTTAATATTTCTGACTCCAAAGTTTTTGCTGTTTTCCATCGTCTCTCTCTGAAGAAGCTGCAGAGGTTTGTTGGGGTATTGGACATACCAGAAAAGGGTAGGGTACCCCGTGGATGTGTATGTGCAGTTCATAGTCACAGATGCTCCCTCCAAGATGGTTATTTGGCCTGTCTGTTTGACTGAATTGCTGCCGGTTTCTCCTGTAGGGGGGAAAAAGTACTGGTTTTATGGGTTTGGCCAGAGTTGTATCTTTTGGAGAAGGTTTTTATAATTTTGAAATAATAAAAAAAAATTAATAAAATGTACTTACCAAACATTAAGATTAGAATTAGAAAGTCCAGAGAGGAGTTCATTGTTAGTGTCTCTGGCCTATCAGAGGGCATCACTGTTGAAGTGAGGACACAAAATGATTCACAGTTGTATTCAGAATTCATGCATAAATTATGATTTCATTGGTGAATAGCACGCCCACGTGACAAATTAATGAACGGTTATAAGACGTTATCTGCCTCTCAATGTTCTGCTCTGTGTCCTCACTACTGTCCTCGTTCTTAAGAGTCATGTTGGGTGTGAGGTGGTCTTTTTGTGCAAAGGGGACTCACCACATTCCTAAGTCTGTTATCTCTACAACACTTATTCTAAGGGAGAATAATTTTCACTAGAACTTAGACATCACAACATGTCAGTATTTTAGACAGTTGTTTTAATATTTTCAGTTTTTATAAACAATATTGTGATAAATCTATGCTTACATAAACCCTCTTCATACATCTAATTATTTCCTTAAAACATGGTGCACTGAACACACATTGTGACCAAATGCCCAATGGTGAGGTGTTAAAGTCAATATCTGGGCGAAGCTAAAGCTGAATCTGAATATCAAAAAACAGAATTAACTTCAAAAATATAAGAATAAATATGAAATTCTATCTAAAATGTAATTATTATTATAATTGTGTTAACAAAGACTTAGCATTCACATTTCAAAGTTTAGCATTACAGTAAAAGAGCAGTAACCTCTCAGGACTGTCTGTTGTTTGATTGGTCCTGTTATTACCATTTTTCACATTTGCAAAATTTTTTACTGAAAACAGTAGTGAATCAAGATATTTTTGGTTGTCTCTTCTAGAAAAGGGTAGTGCTGAGGGACACTTATTCCTTTTTTATCTGGTCTTGAAGATCTATTTGATAATGATGGTGCAATTCAATGGAAGTCATTTTGCAAAGTCTACTTAGCTTTGGTTTTTTTTTTTTTTTTTTTTTTTTTTTGACTGCTTGTTTTTTTCTCTTTTTTTCTTCCTCAGTCCTGGCATAATTTTATCTGGTTTCTCAGAAATGGAAATATTTCACTTCAAATATTCAATCTTGCACTTAGACTAGAAGTGGCTTGGCTTACAGCTGAGTATTTGCAGTCTTTATTTCTGGTTACATAATAAATGGCTCAAGATTCCTGGTGCCAGAGGAGGTTCTTGGAGTAACAGAAAAAAAAAATTTCATGATATATGTGTGTGTGTGTCTCAGTAACCACTATTTTGATAGCTGGAAAAAATGAATCACATTGTTTTCTATGTTTCTGTGATGACTAAAGAATTTGTATACCTCTTTATAAAGTGGCCATTTGTACTACTTTTTGTAAACTGCTCATTTTCCCCAGGAATATTAATGTTTTATTATTGTTATGGTTTGAATGTGTCCCCCAAAGTTCACATGTTGGAAATTTAATCCCCAATGCAACAGTGTTGAGAGACGGGACCTTTAAAAGCTCATGAGAGCTCTGTCCTCATGAATAGATTAGTGACATTATCACGGGAGTGGATTAGATACCTTGGGAGCGGGTTCCTGATAAAACAATGAGTTTGGCACTTTACCTGTATCTCCGTCTTGCACGCACTCTCTTGCCCTCTGCCTTTGGCCATAGTGTGGTGCAGGAAGAAGGCCCTCCCCAGATGCAGGCCCCAGGATCTTTGATTTCCCATCCTCCAAAACTGTAAGAAATAAGTCTCTGTTCTTCATAAATTACACATTCTCAGGTATTCTAATATAGCAGCACAAAATGGACTAAAACAGTTATTGATTTATTTTAATTTTAAGGGTAATTTACATTTTAAATACAAAGGTATTATCAGAAAATCACATTGTACATATTTTAAATAACTGACGTCAAAGAACTTTCCTTTATTACATTACTAAGCTTACAGTTTTGATCAGTGAGCTATAATTAGAGGACAGATACGGGCAAGGTTTTGACAAATCTTTCCTTTCACCATTTTGAAGATGCAGTCTCATGTGCTTCGCCTAGTGCTTGAATAGAGGTTTTCTGCAAGTGGAAAGAGGTTTTAATCTTAACCTAATGGGCCTGAAACCTTTGTAATCTTCCTTTTCATTTATCATGATGCCTCAGAGACAAGGTATTTTGATATCTCCTTGGGATATTTGACATACAACAAGAGGCAGGTACCTACCCATTTTCTATGTACAGTTCAATGTCAGGTGTGCCCCTGAAGAAAGGGTCACATATCCCTGTGTCTAGGTCACTGAGTCTCTAGTGGTTCTTCCTGGAAAGCCAAGGTTTTCATTAGAATGAATGGAAATGACATTGACTCTAAGTAATAAAATGAGAAATAAGATAAATTATAAAACAGTCAAAATTTTAAACTGTCATTTTGCTCACCAGAGAGTAACAACCTCGCAAGCATCGAAGTGGAGGCACTGATCATGGCTGTTCTAGTGCTGGCGACTGTGGAGAACCCATGATCTCTCCTGGCTTGCATGGGCTGTCTCTCCCAGGATTGAGGCTTCTACCTCATGCCATTGATTGCACTTCCCTCCTTTAGATTTTGGGAAGTTTGTCTTTTAGTACTGGTTCCTCTTTCAGATGTGAGACTCTAGGATCGCTAGACCTACTGGGTTCTTAGAGGTATATACAAGTACTTGGCATGACTACGTGTAGGAATCTTTTAAATCTTTAATTAGCCAAAACACACAAGTGTTTCTGCACTGGAGGAAGAAAGAAAGAAAACAAAGCACAACACAATGCCATCCTGTTTTGGGCTAGGGAGTGAACTCTAAGTATTACTTAGAATTCTTTTTGAGTTAGTGGTTAGAAGAGGGAAGCTCTGACTTGTGAGATACATGCTGCCCTTTCGGTGTCTAGTTAAATCAATAGAAATTAGTGATGATGACGATGATAGCTAATATTTACTGAGTGCTGAGTGACGAACCAGAGGCTTTGCGTACATTAATCCACATGATTGTGAAAAGCAGGTGTTAATATTATTGTTCCCATTTTATAGATGAGGAAATTGATGATCAGAGAGGATAAACAAATTGCTCCAGGTCACACTGCTCAAAAGTGGTGAAGCCAGGATTCAATATCTGATCTGCCTCCTTATTCTCTGAGTCCACAGGACTTGACTGTCTGTTTACAGCTTATTCAATAGTTATTTACTAGACTCCAGACAGTATAAGGGTCTGTCAAGTTTAATATTTGTTGGATAAATTAATCAGTCAATAAGTGAATTAAGTATTTGATTTCAGAGCCTAGGAATTCAACTAGAACATCCATCTTTTGAAGTGTTACTTCCTTATATCCCTGCTCTTTGCCTTAGAAGAGAAGTCAACAAAGGCTCTCAGCAGAAAGCCCCAGATTGGCTATGCTAAATGATTTTTTTTTTTCTTCTAAGACGGAGTCTCACTCTGTTGCCCAGACTAGAGTGCAGTGGTGTGATCTCGGCTCACTGCAACCTCCGCCTCCTGGGTTCAAGCATTCTCCTGCCCTAGCCTCCTGAGTAGCTGGGATTTCAGGTGGGTGCCACCATGCCAGGCTAATTTATTTTTAGTAGAGATGGGGTTTGACCATATTGGTCAGGCTGGTCTTGAACTCCTGACCTCAGGTGATCCACCTACCTTGGCCTCCCAAAGTGCTGGGATTATAGGCATGAGCCACTGCACTCAGCCTGACTATGCTAAATGATTTTTAATAGTGACGCAGTGGCTGGGTGGGGTGGTGCATACCTGGAGTCCCAGCTCTGGAGGCTGAGGCAGGAGGACAGCTGGAGCTCAAGAGTTTGAGGTCAGCCTGAACAACACAGTGAGACCCCCATTTTAAAAAATATTTAAAAAATAAAATAATAATAGTACAGTTTCTCTAATGAGGGTAGAACTCTGAAATGTTCAGGAGAGTACAAAGTTACTCTCTAGACAGCACCATGAGTAAGGGCAATAAATGTTTCCCACTTTGAAGTTGTAAAAAAAGCTCACGGTACAACTCAACCCCTTATTTGGTTTGACTATTAACATCTTTATGCATATTTTTTCCTGCGCAAATAGATCCCTCCAAGCATCTAGATCTCTACCACTGCTATGGTCCTAGGTGAAGAGTTTGTAATAAATATGTAGATGTCAAAAGAACAGGACATCTCACCATCTCAGAGGTAATTTGAGGAGGTGAGGTGCTTCTTTTCTACACCAAGCTACTCAGTTAATTTGCCCTCACTCTGTATGCCACTAGGTTGAATTGTTATCAAATTAATCTAACGTCTTTCCCATACTCCTGCCTGTAACATCGATATCTGAATAATTCGTTTGAGTGATGGCATTCCAAACTAATGATCAGGGCCAGCTTCGGTATGAAACCTGTATAGTCTCATAGAACTCATGTTTTAATGCTCCTCTGTTGCAGTCTTCAAATTCTTAGGAAGTTTTGCATTTTCATTTTGTACTGGGTCCCGTAAATTACATAGGCAGTCCCGCTAAAGGCCTATGTGTCCTGGTAGCTCAGGGACTGAGCGTTCTTGTCCATTTTTTGATTATTCCACCCTGTTCAGATCGATGAGACAGCAGAGATCTTTATTACATAGGCTTTCACAGAGGCATGTGGATTTTTATTTTCCCTCTGCTCCGACTTCCATTACCTTTATCACCACAGCACAATTTTCTAAGGTCCTTAAAATGCCTAGATTTGAGTAGGGAGTCTTACACAACAGAGGAAAGCACAAATATTGCCTTCTGGAAGATGCTTTCACAACAGACCTTCTTGTGTCTGAAATTAAGACTCCTTCCTGTCATTTGCCGCTAAACTCACAGGTCATCTGCAGTCAACAGATCTACAGAAAGGCTATCAAATATGTCTTTAGCCCCTTTTCCATCAGCAGAAGCAGTAACAATAGCTGCTCTTCAAGGAGCTTTTCTGGTGGAAGAAGCCTCTGTGCTCAGAGTAACACCAGATATCTTCGGTTCTGATGTTAATACAACAATCTTCCTCACTTTTATCTTGACGACCTGCAGTCTATTCTCAGCACGGCAGCCAGAGTGAGACTTTTACATGGAAGTCAGATGATATCACTCCTTTCTCAAAGCCTTCCTATGGCTTCTCATTCCACCTAGTTCTAAACATGTTAGGCATCTCCTAATTTAGGACTGGACTCTGCTTGGAAAACTTGACCCAAATATATGCAAGATTCACTCTCTCATCTTCTTCAGTTTTGCTCAAATGTTATCCTTCCAGTGAGCCTACTCTGACACTTTACCTAAAATTACAAGGGAACCACCCTTCTGTGGCCCCCTCCAGAATTCCCTATCCCCTAACTTGCTCTGATTCTTGTCTCCATAGACTTATCTTCTTATATATTGTAATGCAAAATATATTAATGCTAAAGAGACTCTCCGAAGAGACGTAAGTCATAAACCATATAGTAATTTACTTATTATGGTTAATGCTTACTAGAATGTATTTTCTATAAAATCTGATATCTTTGTGCATTTTTAAAAAGCAGATAGCTCAAGTGTCTAGAAGAGAGCCTGGTACCTAGTAGATACCCATAAACACTTGTTGAATAAGTTAATTATTTGATCTGAGAACAAGCACACTTTCTGCATTGCAAAGGGACTGAAGACATTGTCCTCCGTGGCTGCACGCATTCATTCGACATTTATACCAACTACATGCCAGGCTCTGTGCTAGTGAATTTCACACACTGAGAGGTGAGGGTAATGGATTCCCTGCAGGGTGACCTTCCAGAGAAGGAACTGGCTCTCCTAATAGAGACCCAGACTAGAGCTTCAGGCAGTAAATTTTGTAAGAGAGCTGAGGTGGCAGATCAGGACTGGAGGCTGCAGATTTCCTTGATTTTGCTATAATCATATAGTTTGGAGCCCAGCCCACATACTACAGTAAGGCCTAGTGCTTCCCCAGTAATGCAGCCTTAAAGTTCCATGGCTCAAGACTGGGTTCTCTTTCTTAGGGTCTCACATTGGCCACGCTACATTGCTGTGTGCTGTTTCAGAATGTAGGGTACATGCTGCCCCTGGGGGAACCACACACCTGCTCTTTTTCTTGTCTTTATGAATTTTCTCTAGTAAACACTGTTCTAGAAGATCCAGTATGTGTGCTGTTTACTTTACATATACACCATCTCATTTTAAATGTCATATAAACTTTAGAAAGTGGTTATTATTTTTTCCGTATATTTTTATGAGAAAAGTAGACTTAAATACATTATGAAACTTGCCTAAGGGTATAGAGCTCATAATAGAAGAGTTTGAATACTCAGGAATTCTTTTTGATACCAAATCTGGTGTTCACACTATTACATTATTAGAATCTCTGAATCTAAATGGAGTGGACTAACAGTTTCAAATATGATAGTTTCCTTCTTTGAAATCCATTTTTTTCCCTTTTAAATCTCTTGCCATAAATTTTGAGGATGAATCTTATTGGTCCAGTAAAGCGAGATTGTGAAAGGATCCAATGAGATCAAAGGGTCAAATTATTGATTTTGTATTCAAAATGGACTTAAAAAGTCTTAGGAGGAAAAGGTATCCTGAAATAAGGCATTATTTTGAGTTGCAAGAGCCAGGTACTTGGTAATTTTTCTTTTTGAGAATTTATATGTTGAGCAGAGCCTGAGATTTCAAGGCAGTTTTTAAAAATCACAAATCCTGTCTAAAACCCTGAGCTAGTAAGGCAGATGGTAGAAACCACAAGATAGGTTGACTGTCCACTGCAAAAAGAGCTTTTGCCTGCTTCCCATCCAGAGCTCTGAGAAGATCTAGCTTTGTGAAAGGTTCTATTGCAACATATTGTAGACGCAGTAGAGTAGAAAGGACACTATGGTCTTTTAAAATGTTGTCTTCTAAAAATATCTTCTAAAAATATTTGCTTGCTTGAGGGAGCTCATGGAAAGTAGCTGGAAAATGAGAACCATGTCCCTGCCACAGGGACCTCATTGAGGAAGGTATATAGTGCATAGACTAAGTGAAGGATGTGCTTGAATCTCAGAGGATCAACAAGTCCAGCAGGAAAGGAGATGGGAGGCAAGGTAACTGGGAGAGATGGAAGAGCGTGCATGCTGAGTCTTAGAGAAATTCCTAGAAGGTGCACCTGACATGTACACTTAGATTTCATTGAACAGAATTAGTTCATGCCAATACTTAGCTGTAAGGAGATCTGGGCAACACAGATTTTATTCTGGGGCAGAGTAAAAGAGGGGAAGATAGGAGAATGGATATTGAGGAAAAAATATCAGACTGTACCACACAGGATGAAGGACATATAATGATGAAAATCTAGAAGAAATGAATAATTTCTTGGACATTACTAATGCTAAAAAGACTATCTGAAGAGATATAAGTCATAAACCATGTACACCAAAAACATTGCAGCTAGATAAATAAAACAAAAGCAATTTGCAAAACTTGACAAATTAAGTGAAAGATTTCAATAGTCTTTTTCAGAATGTGACAGATTTTAGAAAACAAAAACAAGGACATAGGAAGATTTAATGATATGATCAAAAAAGTTGAATATATAGACACACATACATATATAAATTCACAGCTTTCGAATATAATTATTATGATTATGTACTTGGGCTTCAAGTAAATCTTAATGAAAGTTTTTAAAAAGTACATCTCATAGAGGTGCATTCTCTGATCATAATTTAGTAAAAATAAAAAATGTTAACTCTTTTGATATAAAGAAACAACTTATAGATAAGCCTTGAAGCAGACACACTATTAAAAGAAAAAATAACCAACTGTGTTAAAAGCAGTGAAAAAGAGACTAGTTCACATCAAAACATATGAGACAGGGTGAAAGAAATACTCAAAGGAGAATTATTCGTCTCAAATGCCTTTTCTGGGACATAAATAGCACAATTCAGAAAAATGTCTCCTTTTCTAACCTCTGTGGTAAGTGGACTTGGTAACTGGTGTATCTGATTATGATGGGTCCAAGTATTTTATGGAACTTCTTGTTAGTAGAAGCTCTGGTCATGGACAGCAAGTGCCGGAAGCTTAGAGTCACCAGAAACATTCCTAAAGGTCCAACTGGGGGAACAACATATTTGGTTTAGCATGCTTTAATATGTTGGAGATTGTCGCCTTTGATAATATTTTCTTACTACACCATCACACCCTTAAAATCAGCTGGTTCAATTTTGAATGTATGTATTGTTTCTTCAAGAATAAGGTTTAACGATATATTTTCAGTGACAGTAAGTGATTCTAGGAAAAGAAAGCAAAAAATCTATATACTCATAAGTTGGGAAGGACTCAGGAAAATTGGGAAGGCAAAGTGGAAAGAACTTAGTTTTTTATGTTCTAAAGATCAAATTAATGAAATTCTGAGTTCTATTCATTTGTTTTAGGGTTTGTTTATATTCTTGATCTGAAGAAGATGTAAAAGTTCATCTTCAGAATCCAAGAGTTCTCTCTAAGAAGGAAGAGATTTGGGGACTTAAGTGGATATTGTTCCTTCAGTTAATTAGATTGGATTGAGCAATATTTTTTTCCCTGTCATGAATGGTTTCCTTGTGAAATTGTTTTCAGCATGAAAATGAGTATGTGAAGACATGCTGTTAAATGCTCCAGAAAGGTTATAGAAAATCTGATGTAACATCCTGTTGTCTGATTATGTAACAACACAACAAATAAGATCATCAATGCAAAATAAAAATTTCCTGACAATCAGTCATTGACAAGGAAACTTGCTTTGGTAACAGGTCAAGAAACTTGAAATTTAAGATATGTTATCAGTATTTATAAATACCAAGTCAAAGTTTTTTCAGCCTACTCAGTCAGAGTGAAGCCTCTGCTTGACTCAAAGGATGATGGAACTAGTCAGTTTTTCATGCCAAATTTTATTTTATCTAAATGTGGAAGTTATTATAGTCCCTGCTGGAGGCTCTGAGGGGTAGCAGGAGTTTTCGGTCTGTACACTGCTGTGGCTGACTTTTCATAATCTGCCAACAAATTGCTGCAGAAGTTGATTTGCTTGTAAAGACTCTAGGGGCAATTTAGAGATATAAGTATTTTTAGTTTTTAAATGATTTTAAGGTGATTTTCCTTAGGAGGGTCCAAATGTTGAAATGTTAAGGTCAGCCTTTACATTGTAATGGTAATTTCTGAAATATTGTCCCTTAAAAGCCTGACTGAATCAAGTTTATTATTTTTCTAGAAGTTTGGGGTGAAAATGTGATGCAGTTGATATCTGAAGGTACTGACTAGTTTATCTCTTTAGTGGGACGGGAAAACTTATTTTCAATTATTTTTGTATAACATTCAAATTGGGGATTTCTTACAAGACAATTTTCCTGGAAGTGAAATTCATTCTAATCTAATCTGCAATGGGAAAATAAAGTTTAATATAAGTTCTACAGTGTAGCAAAACAATTACAAAAAAAAAAAAATGGAGGGAGGAGAAGAGGAAACTGGCAAATAATATAGGAAAAAATATGATGTTCTTCTGATTGGCAAGGACACTCAGACAGTTTTGGGGTAAATCCAGCCAAAGGATACATTTCCCAGAGATTCTCTACACATTGAGATAAACAGGTACTTAGATCACATGGATATTATCTGACTACTGTAGTCAATATTTTAGCAGGAAACGCTAGGTAAGGAACCTCACATCGAACATTATTTTTTATTTATTTATTTATTTATTTTTTGAGACAGAGTCTCGCTCTGTCACCCAGGCTGGAGTGCAGTGGCGCAATCCCCACTCACTATGAGCTCCGCCTCCCGAGTTCACGCCATTCTCCTGCCTCAGCCTCCCGAGTAGCTGGGACTACCGGCGCCCGCCACCACGGCCAGCTAAATATGACATTCTTTTATAAAACATTTATTCTTTCTTTCTTTCACTGGTAAATGCCATATGTTACATTCATATATAAAACAAATAATAATTCCATATTTCATAGGAATTATTTGTGACGGTTGCACTACATGTACAATCATTCCGTAATGGAAGACTAACAAATTCTGACTGTGAGGCAGTAAAGGATGAGACCTCATAGTCTCAGGAAATACATGTTTAGGATTCTACCCTCAGTTTGAATACATTTTCCTTTTTAAAAATGTTCCACAGTTAAGAAAATAAAACAGCATCTTTTTTCACCCATTTCAGAATTTTCCTTGCAGAAAGAAATGCGCAGCCAGTGAAGGAAGCCTCGCAGTCATAGTTCCTGCAGCAGGAGTGGGCCCACCAGCTGCAGGTTTGGGTACAGACTAGCGGCGTCAGGCAAGCACTGTGTGTTCACGGCACAGAAGTAGGTGGCAGAGAGGTCTTGCAGGGCGGCTGTGATATGCAGGGTGCTGAGACGGGCTTTGGTATCAAGTGAGGCCATGAATCGTCCCTCCTGCTTCACTGCTCCATTTGACAGCAACACAAACAGAGATTCCAGACTTTTCCCAGGATCCTGCCTGTACCAATACAGTCTGTCTGAAGCGGTTGAATAATTGCAGTAGATGGTATAGTTTTTTCCCTCCTGCGTGCTCAGGAACAGAGGGTTTTGTCCCACTTTCAGCTCTCCACTTAACCCTGTCCAAAGAGAACATTTCAGAAGGAGACATTCGCTGGTTACCCCAATAATCCTGTTCCTCCCCAGGGAACCCAAACGAGTTGCATTGAATCTTGTCTCTACCCCCAAACATTGTATGGACAAGTCCTTTCCTCCCATGGCTCCCTTTTCAATGAACCCCCAGCTCACGGTCTAGTTGAAGCCACAGAATCACTGCTAGTAGCTTCTTCATTTTTTTTTTTTCTGTCTAGTTCACTGAAGACTCAGATTTAGGAGCCTTGAAAGCTTGCCAGGGCTATCCAAATATAGTAATTTTTTTTCTCTACAGAAACACGATTTCAAAAGATGTTCCAACCAATTAGAATCATATCCTGCAGTCCCTCACTTTCATAAAAAAGAAAAAAAAAAAAAAAAAAGAGAGAGAGAAAAAAGAAAGAAAAAGAAAAAAAAAAAAGCGTGGGGGTTGGTTTGGACAGAAGTTATGAATGGAAACAGTGCCCTCTTCAGGATACTTAGAGAAATTCCTGAGAAAGTAATTCGTAGTATTGATGCTTCTTGTAAGCCAGCAAGATATTCCTAAAAATTTCCTAGTAAATTAACTCTTTCACATCTCATTGAAAGATTGATTGATTTAGTGAGGGAATTTTACAAGTGACAGAAATGTAACTCAAATGAGCTTAGGCAAGAAGAGAAATGCATTGACTCCAATAACCTTGGTAAGAGCAGAAATGTATCTGAACTTCAGGCATCCAGGGTGCCAGGGAACTTAATCCTTCAAGACTTTTCATTCTGTGTCTTAGTTTCATCCCTCAGACCAGATTCCAGCATGAAGCAGGAGGTGTGTTTGTAAATATTTTCTGGTTGGGATTCATCTCACAGTGTAGCCACCAAAGAAGTACTGAGGCTCCTTTCTGATTCCAGATTTAAAAATATTGAGGTAAGGCTTTGATTGCTTCAGTCTGAGCCAGGTTCCCCTCCAGGGGCCAATTTGTGACTAGAGTGGTGTATACATAATATGATTGGTTCAGCTGGGTCAGGCATCCACCTCTGGGTCATTCATCATTCCATTCATAAGTAAGATAGCAGTCTCCATTCATAATACATGGTTAGAATTTATATTTTACCCGGAATAAGTTGCTATTCTAAGTGAACAAAATGGTAGATGCCCACCACAGTTGCGTTATCTCATCTCTGTGGACTATTGACGGAGGGAGAGTGGGAGGGAAGGAAGGCTTTTATTTCTTTAGGACTCATCTAACCTGAGTAGCTACTCCTGTGAACTGGGTTAGTCTATGACTCACCTTGACCCTCTGCACATGGTGTACCTTTTCTGTACCATGTTGAACACATCGCATTTTCTTCAGTTCCTCAGACACTTACTACACAAAGTTGTGGAAGAAAGGACAAAAGATGATAACAATAACTAACATGTATTGAGCTGTACTCTATGCCAGGCACTATGCTAAGTGAGTGCATAATCTCACTTAATTCTCACAATATCTGGATTTCACAGATCTTACAGGCTTACAGATTTTACAGGCTTACAGAGGTTAAACAATAAGTTTATGATCATGTAGCTGGAAAGGGACGGAGTTGGGATTCAGCCCACCTGTCTACTGAGCTAATGCTCTATCCCGTTCTTCTCCATATGTATGTAACAGATTTCTGTTAGGATTTGGAGGCTACAGGTTGGGGGCAGTAATTTTTCACCCATTATACTCACTGCAATCAATGTTGGATAGCTTTCTTTTTTTCCCTTCAACTTTTATTTTAGATTCGGGGGTAAAAGAAGTGCAGGTTTGTTATCTGAGTGATGCCATCACCCGGATAGTGAGTGATATGGTTTGGCTGTGTCCCCACCCAAATATCTTGAATTGTAGCTACTATAATTCCCATGTGTTGTGGGAGAGAGCCAGTAAGAGATAATTGAATCACAGGGGCAGTTTCAGCCATACTGTTCTCCTGGTAGTGAAAAAGTCTCATGAGATCTGATGGTTTCCACTTTCAGATGGGGCTTCCACGTTCCCTTGGCTCTCATTTTTCTCTTGCCTGCCACCATTTAAGATGTATCTTTTACCTTCTGCCATGATTGTGAGGCCTCACCAGCCACATGGACGTGTTAGTCCACTAAACCTCTTTTTCTCTGTAAATTACCCAGTCTTGGGCATGTTTTTATCAGCAGCATGAAAAGGGACTAATACAGTGAGCATAGTGCCTAAAAGTTAGTATCTCAGCCCTTGCTCCACTCCCTTCCTTCTTCCTCTAGTAGTCTCCAGCTTCTATTGTTGCCATGTTTATGTCCATGTTTACCCAATGTTTAGCTCCCACTTATAAGTGAGAACACAGGGTATTTGTTTTTCTGTCCCCGCATTAATTTGCTTAGGATAATGGCCTCCAGCTCCATTCACGCTGCTGCAAAGGACATGGTTTCGTTCTTTTTTATGACTGCATAGTATGACATAGTGCATATGTAGTACCACATTTTAAAAATCCAATTCACCATTGCTGGGCACCTAAGTTGGTTTCATTTCTTTGCTGTTGTAAATAGTGCTGCAATAAACATGCGAGTATATGTGTCTTTTTGGGGTAGAACTATTTGATTTCTTTTGGATACCTACCCTGTAATGGGATTGGGAGTTGAATAGTAGGTGTGTTTTAAGTTCTTTGCGAGATCTCCAAACTACTTTTTACAGTGGCTGAACTAATTTATCTTCCCATCAACAGTGTGTAAGTGTTCCCTTCCCTCCACAGCCTTGCAAGCATCTGTTGTTTTTGACTTTTTAATAGCCATTCTGACTAGTGTGAGATGGTATCTCATTGTGGTTTTGATTTGCATTTCTCTGATGATTAGTGATGTTGAGCATTTTTTCATATGTTGGTTGGCCTCTTGTGTGTATTATTTTGAGAAATGCCTGTTTATGTCTTTTGCCCATTTTTAAATGGAGTTATTTGTTTTTTGCTTGTTCAATTATTTAAGTTCCTTATATATTCTGGATAACAGACCTTTGTGAGACAACTTTCTACATTAATTTCTAGACCTGTTAAATCCCATACTAAATTCTCTACTGTCTTAAGCAAGGTCCCACTGAAATCTCTTTTCCTGCGTGAACTGTGCATAACTGATAAAACCATCCAACATTGCTTTTTGCCTTTAAGAACACTTGAGAAAATGAAAGACATTAAGAAATAAAAGACATTATGTTCAAATGTACCCAGCAAGTACCCACCAATGTCAAGTAATGTGATAAATGATGGGGTGGGTAGGGGTATTAAATAATTCCACAGTATCTACTGTTGGTCTTAATGGAGTTGTAAGTTAGTTAGAAAGATTGAAATAATGTGCATGGAGTTAAAGTTAACAGTGCAAAGCACTACACTGCTTTGTACAGCAACATAGCATTGGGTGCATTTTCTTTTTAATATATGTGCTGTATGTGAGGTCAAAAGAGAAGGAAATTATGAAAGGCTATAGGAATTTAGTACAATCTCTTTGGAGGAGCTGAGGACTAAAAAACACATAATGTTTAAATAGAGAGAGAGAGCACTAAAGGTTATTTCAGGAAATATAGAGAGGTAGGAGTAAGGATGACATGTTTTTGAGAAAGTGTGAAGAATGGTCCAGCTAACAGAGAAAACAGAGTCTGGGTAATAGTGTCTGGGAATGAGGATAAATTGGTGAAATGAGGAGCAGATAATGGAAGTCACTAAAAGCTACTTAAAATGGCTTATATTTATGAGAAAATAGAAACTGTTGTAAGATTGTGAATAGTGGAGGGATATGATGAAAAGATCTCTTAAAAAAGAAGGGAGTGGCAATGGTGCAGAGGGGCAGAGGGTGGTTGGGAGCTGGTAGGATAGGGGAGAAGAGCAAGAAAGATACTTCAATAATGAAGAGGAAAGAGGACACCCCTTTCAACTGGGTGGGAACAATCTAAGGACTTGAATAAGGTGGTGGGCATGGGAATTCTAAGCAAAGTATATATCCCATAGCACTTCAAAGGAAAAACTGACAATCATTGGTACCTGACTGTAAACTCAAAAGGTTCAAGCCTGAATAAAAAGAGGATGTGGTGCCATTTACATAAACTGGGAAATTGGAGAAGCATCTGAGTATGGAAAGTGTTTTGAAATTGAGATGATAATGAGATATTAAGTGAAAATGCCCTGGTAAGAGTTGGAGGTAAAGGACAAGATCTCAGCTGAATGGAAGGTACTTGACACTTAGCAGAAACTCAGTAAAGACATCTATCATTATTATGCGTTATCACGGGTACCACATAGTGTTTTAATCAGTGTGTACACCTATCTGTTTCTCCCACTAGATTATGAACTCCTTGAAGGCAGGGAATTTCTCGTAGTCATTTTTGATTTCCCAGTATGTAGTGCAATGATTGGCACATAGTAGGAATGTAACATGGTTTTTTCTTTAATGATGAAAACATAGGAGAGTCGAGACATAGTAGGTGGTATATATGCAGTATTTATTTGCTGTATATGTGAAGAAGGAAGAAGAGGCAGAATTCAGGATTTTTTTCTTTACAATTTGATATTGACTTTGGAATTGTAAAATAGTATAAATTTTTAGAAAGTAGAGAAGTTTAAATTAAAAAGTTATACATTTCTAAACACCACCCATTTCATCAAGATCTATTTATACAAGGCATTAACCGGTGATTTGAAAAATTGCCTTTTTTTGTGTGGGGTTATAGCACCTTTTGCATTCTTAACATTGCACATTTGTGTTTTCTTTTTTATTATCAGGTTTGCCAGAAATATTGTCTTTATTTGTACATTCTAATTATTGCTTTGCAGTTAAATTAATTCCTGCTTTTATCGTTAAACTTTCCTCTTCTCTGTTTTGGCTTATTTTGCTCATTTCTTTTTTTATTTATTGAATTGCCAGATTTGGCCCCTTTGTTTTACTTTTTATTAATAGACGGATGCATTTTCTTGTGAATATTGCTTTGAACAAATATATAGTTTTTAAATGTAGCACCATTATTAGTGTTAATTTTTAATGGCATGTAATTTTAACTCTTAGTTCTTTGATTTGAAAATGTTTTAGACTATTATAAGTGGTTAATTCTCTTTCTACTCATTTATTTGGTATCTTTTAATTATTAGTTTCTAGCTTTATTGCATTAGGTTCAGACAACGTGGCTTATATGATTCTTTCCTATTTTTTTTTTTTGAGTCATATCGTACGCTCATTTTTTGGTAAATGTTCTGTAGCTATATGTTTAATACAAAGTTTTTTTCCATCATCTTCTCTCTCTTTCTCTCTCTGAGAAATAGATATTAAAGTGGCCCATAATGAATGTGTTATCAAGTTATTTTTGTATTTCCAACAAATTTTGCTTTATATTTTTCT